CTTCAACAGTAGGGCGTTCCGCTCCTTGTTGTTTGCTTGTTTTGGTCATGCCATATGAAGTGGATGATTTATTTCCTGGTATGTTGCTTGATGTGCTTTTTCCACGCAGCTCGCCACGTCTGTTCATGTGGGGGGTTCGTCTCATATTACACACACACACACACACACACACACACACACACATTCTCCAGTCTATTGGTGGGGAGTGGCACCTGCTGGACACTCGGTCCAGTGTCCCATGAAATGGCATGAACATCATGAATAAAGCACCACCCGAGACCCCATATGCACGATGTGAAGTGAACACGAGAAAACATACATACAGAATAATCACTACCTTCCCCTTCCCCAACCACATCAACAAACAAACTACGGGCTGCACACCTGTGCCCTCATGGTAAATCAATTCAACTTTCAACGTTGGTTGTCGTTCAGGAGGGTGGGGAATTTTCAGGTAAGGGCTTAGCAAGGGGCGGGGAATTTGAACAACCGGTAGCAAGGGGCGGGGAATTTGAACAACCTGTAAGTGACTGGGTATAAGAAGAAGCAAGGGGCTCAAAGCTGATTGGAGCGAAGTGCACATGAATTGCCGTATCCATGTGGCGTTGTGTCAAGTTGGACAATACAGCCTTGCAGCCTTGCCGGAGGGGTATGGTTCAAATTAAAAACGCCGCATTTTGGCTGTAGTGGTGAAACCACCAGTACCTTTCCCATGTATCAGCCACGGGCCCCTTGCCGCAGCTTTTGGAGGCCCAAAACAGAGCACCGACCGCCAATTAACTATATCAATGGCGGTCTGGCCCTGAGAGTTGCCCATGTTAACCACCGTGTATTTGTTGGAGAGAGACTTGCTTCCGTGGGCCAAGGGCGTCAATTCGAACGCGTGCTTGCACGGACGAGGTCTGAGGCCCAGACACAGGGATCCATAACTCAGTGAAAAGCCATTTGAATTGCACTTCTACACACTTATTTTTTTTTCCGGATTGTTTTCCTTTTCTTTGGCACTGGGGATGCCCGGGACCCCGCACACCCAGGCATGTATCCGCGCACAAGTTGGGTGCCCAGCCGCACACCCAGCCTAGTTTCCTTTTCCTTGTTTTTTTCTTTTATAGTCCTACCCCTCATAAGACCACCTCCCCCCCTCCCTGTTCAGCAATTCTCCCCAGAGCACCCCTACTCCCCCAGTTCTGCCTCACTGTCTAAGACTCAGGTAAATAACCCTTCTATCATCTTCAAGTTTGCGAGGTGACCTGACAGGGCAGTGGTTGTAGGCACCACAGCTTAGAAGCAATCCTCCCCCGGAATAAAAAGACAGATTTCTGCCTAAGGAACGAGCAAGGCACTCCAGACAAGCTCAAGCAAGGGTCATAAATAACCATGGCTACGCCGGACCCAGACCCGGACCCGGACCCGGACATTTCCGGACATGGAACCGGACCCGTGTCCGGTAGTTTCCGGACATCCGGAATTCCGGACATTTCCAGACCTCCGGACATGTGGGCATCCGGACGGTCCGGAAGTATGGACAGGTCCGGAAATGTCAGGACCATTAAAAAAAAAAAAACAAAAAAAAAAAAACCTGAAAAAAAAAGTATGTTAAGCAGAATAACAATGCAAACCACTTTTGCCGCAGAGTCATGTCAGAATTCCTAACCAAACTTGAGTTAAAAGTCAAAAACTTATAAAAAGCTTAAAAAAAGACTTTAAAAACTAATAAAAGGTAATGAATTATTAATAATTAAAAATTTGGGGTTGTCTAATAAATTACTATAGATAGAGAGCATGTCCGGACCCCCCCAAAAAGCATAAACGGGCCTGAAAAAAACCCAAAACAATTTTGGGGGCTTGGCTCCTCAATGGGGAAGGGTCCTGGACCGTTTTTTTTTGTTTTTTTTTCCCTCGAAATTTTCCAGATCCGGACCTTCCAGACCGGACGTCTGGATTCCGGACTGAATCCAGACCGTCCGGATCGTAGCCATGTAAATAACTAATCAGAGAGAAGCATCAAGTCACAAAAAGAAAAGAGGAGAACTTCAGCTAAGGGTGTTTCTCTTTGTTTAGGGCTGTTGTCATTTGAGGGCGCCGGACAGGTACCCTTACCTGGGGTCTTTCCAGAGGCAATTCGAACACACTTCGGTCCAATCTGCTCTGACCCCCCTGCAAGCTTGCGTTTGAGGGCGCCGGACAGGTACCCTTACCTGGCGTCCTTCCAGAGGGTCAAAAATGAAGGGACAGTTTGAAAGTCAAAGGCCCTGTAGGTTTGGACCGGTCAGAACTTTTTTTTTTTTTTTTTTCAGAACTTGGGAGTCCTGGGCCAGTCGAAGGCGGAAAATCGCCACACTCTCCCAAATAAAAGAGAAAATCAGCACTGTTACAAGCTGCTGACATCAAATGGACGTAAACACTACAGATCGGACGGATATCCCCATCCAAATCTTGACATGACGGAAAGAGTGCAGGCGAGTACACCCTCCTCCGTTGCGGAGAAGTCCGGAGATACGTGACACAGAATTTCTCTGCGGATCTTGGAAATAAAAGAAGTTGGGTTTAGGGTTCCCCGATTTGTCACAAAAAACCTAAAGCTGCCAGGCGGTGAATCACTTTCCACATATCAACGAGTAGTGAGTACACCCTCCGTTTCTCGACCTATTGGCATCCGTTGGACGGATATCGCCGTCCAAATCTTGACTGTTACAGATAGGCGGGATTTACTTCCGATTTGCTTGTTCACAATTCTTAGACCAACCGTGTCAACACGTCGGCACACTCAAATTTTTGCATGCAGCCTCCTAACACCCGCAGGTGAAGAAAATATAGTAAAAACAAAGAAAAAACTTCTGCACTGCACGCCACATCAATTTTTGTTGCTGTTGTTGTTCTTTTAATCGATAACGTTTATTGGAAGTGGTATTTCACTTGTGCCGCAAAGCTCCCACTTATTTTACACCTCTCATTGCTCTCAAGCCGTTTCACAGAGTCTTCTTTCACTCTGGTGGCAAAGAGATTGAGAAGAACACTTTTTTTTGCTCTCTGCTGCTACCTTAGGCGCTAGTGGTGATTGCTCTTATCAACACCCCTAGCACCCCGAGGGATGTTTTTCACAAAAAAAAAAAGAAAAAAAAGTACCCCCGCAACTTGGTTCGGTGAAAAAATGTGACAGTTCCAATTGGTCTGCTTCGGAGACAGTGGTGGTTAGAAGGACTTAAGGAGTAGTCTTTTGGGGGGGTGGGGGGGGGGGGGGGGGTACAGACATCTGCGATGAGGATTGTTTAAGAATAAAAATTCCTCTGGAAAGTGAGGCCCTGTCCAATGACTGAAGTCCAGCTTTAAATATAAAACACTTTCTTGTATCCCATGATCGCTGCCTTTTCTTAGGGAGCAATAAAACTTAAAGACTTGAGCGCACACTCACACGATTGAGTCCAGTTACATAGAGGATGGGTCAAAATTGCAGTCAGATACATTCAGGAAAGTCCTTGAGGGGTATGGCCTGAATGCAGAACCGCCTGCATACCCAAAGTTTACGTTCTAAGGTATAAGCAGTTCAACCATAGGCTACCAGCCGGGACGACCCTAAGCTACCAGCCAGGACGAACAGGGCGCTTTCAACTGTTCAGGATGTCGGTAAGGACATCCTTGCCCGGACCGACATGTCCGGGGGCTAGGTCCCGCTTACACGAATTAAGCGATATTGACCGTAGATAGCAAAGATCAACGGCCGGAATCTCCTAATTTGCGCAAGTGGGACCTTGCCCCGGGTAGCCCGTTTGAAATCAGAAGGGGACCATACCCACATGTCCGGATAGACGGCATGGGTCCGGAGCCAAATGTCCGGATAGACAGCAGAGTTCCGGTCCCACATGACCGGATAGATGGCAGGGGTCCCGACCCACATGTCCGGATAGACGGCAGGGGTCCGGACAGGCTCTTAGCATTAGCCTGACTTGATTAATTCCATATATATGAGGCTGGCCCTACACAACACAACGATTTGTCAATGCTTACATCAGGGTTCTCCTTATGTTCGGGATGTCCGCATGGACATCTTGTCGCTGAATGGTTGAGAAAAAGACCACTGAGTTCCTGTCCTGACGAACACAATATAAAAGTAACCACCCCAAGCCTTTTTTTTTGTGTCACCCTACTTTTGGGGTTGTGCCTCGTTGCATACACGTCCAGGCGTGCGTGTGAGCTGTGCGCCGCACGTGCATGCCACGCCTGCACGCAGTCTACTGCAGGTATGACTGGAATCATTACCTGCTCATGATACATTCAGATTTGAGAATGTTCTCGAAATGATGGTACGACCGCCGCCTTCACCCCATAAAACACCCGTTCAGTATTGCTGTGTCTAGACTGAAAGTTTCCCCAAATATAAAGACCGGATGTTTTATTCGGATGAAGACAGTAGCGCTCTAAACAGAGTCGAGCGATTACTACTTATTAGCATGGCCCCATGTCCAGCCAGGCTTTTCACCCAGAAGCCCTGCAGCCTTTTTTTTTCGGTGTTTTTTCTCAGAAAACAAGGCTCCTTCTATTCTGAGCAGAGTCAGTCTGGTTCCCATTCGACCCGCATTTCAAAAACATAAATACAACGCTTTATCAAAAAAAAAAAAAAAAAAAAAAAAAACTCCCCACGTTACAGCCTGGGGAATACTGACAGCATTGATTTTTTCTTCCCTTGGGAAGAATTAACTGTCAGTTTGAACCCATAACCCATACATATACATTCTGTCAGAGACCTCCCCCTCCGGTAGCAATTTTATTATTATTATTATTATTATTATTATTATTATTATTATTATTATTTTTTCTCCTGTAGCAATTTACCCACCCCTGTAGCAAGTTACCTACAAATAAACATTTTTAAAAGGCAAACCAAGAAAGAAGAACAGAAAAAAAGACAAGTGCTGAAGTGCCCTACTTAGCCTGCTCCCAACATACTCTGCTAAAACCCTAACCCTAAAATAGTGCTCGTCTATGACCTCATTTTCCTGCCTGTGGGCCTGAGGCATTGATTGATTCTCCCTCTCGGCAGGATTAACCAATGCCTGTCTGCTTCCCAACTCCCCTCTCCATCCTATCTTCTTTAAAATAATATAAATCATTCCCTTCGTTGAAAACGTGGTGGCCGGATCTGGCCGTTTCTCTCCAGCTCTCATTCCTATGTACGTCTTGTGCTTCTCGTTTCCCTTTTCCTGTGAGCCTTACGGCATGCCCACACTCCTATCTGCTTGCTCTCTTAGGCCCTGTGTCGCTCTTGGCTCCAAGAGACCCCAAATGCCTCCGCTAGCGGGGGTGATATGAGCATCCCTCTCTACCAAGGCCCTTGCCGGCTGCTCCAATCTCCTCACCAGTGGCATCACCTGCTGGAAACCGTGTCCAACATCCAATACGATAAGTACGCCACCTGCTGCAAACTGGGTGCGGCGTCCCACAAGTACACCACCTGCTGGAAACCGGGAACCAGGTCCAGTGTCCCATGCCTCTTACTCGCCAGTCGACAGTCAAACTTAATCCTGTTGCCTTCAAGCTTGGCCAGTTTTCGTTTCCCCAGAAAAGGCCAGAATCCTTTTCACCAAGGCTTCCCTTAAGTCAAACTTGGAGTCGTCCATTTCATCCGGCATAATTCGGTGGGTATAGCAGGATTTGAACCCGCGACCATCCCTCGCTTTTGCCAAGTTTTTTTTTTCCCCATATTCTTTCTAGCTTTCTTCCATAGCGAAATGTTCTCCGTTTGCAGTAGGTTCTTGCATTCTTCCTGTGCCACTCCTATGCGTCTATCTATTGTTTTATTATTAATTAAGTCTCATTTTCTGGGCTGGGATCCGATACGCGCTACGGGGCTATAGAACCTATATAGGCTTAGCTCGGTCCGACCCGCTTTCCAGCAGGCGCTGCTCCCCACCAGTAGACCAGCGCACCCAGGTCTCTTGCTAGGAGGGGGTGCTCTTATCACCTCTCCTAGCAAAGGCACTAGGGTAAAAAAAAAAAAAAAAAAAAAGAAGTACATCCACAAACTGTTAAAAAGCAGGCTGGTACCGTGTCTCCTAACTGGATACGAGCTTTTCTATTCAATCATCTCCTGGCATCTGCTCTTCCAGACTAATCCTACCCCATATTGCCTTATAGCCACTGAAAGCAGCTGCATTCAAAGGAAGCGAGCAGGTCCATGACTTCAGCATGCGTGTTCCTAATTTCAGCAGTGCGAGTCTGTGACTCGATTCGATTCTCTGGGAAGGGAGCCGTAGTAACTTCTTTCGATAAGATAAGGCCCATAACTCTCTTTCGATAAGGCCCATAACTCTCTGATCACCTGCCAAATTTGCTTTGATTTGCTTTATGGCAGTCTACTGAGTCTAGTAAACAGTGGCGCACAGTCTCCCTTTCCCCTGCTCTGCAGATGACACAGTTCTCCACTTGTGGCGGATTTCCTCCACCCCCTTCAATATACCTCCCACTGCCTACCTACCTATACGTGGTTCTCTCAGCATGGAACATTAAGAGTTATGGGCTTGATTCTAGCCTCTGCTCTGCGCAGAGAGCAGTACCCTGGCTCCAAACACCTGGCGCGAGCTGGAAAGCGAATCGCTTGCTTCCACAACCAGCCAGGAGGCCCAAGCCAGTTATCTCCACTGGTGAACCGAAGGCGTATCACAGGGGGTCGCGGGGATCGGATCAGAAAGGAAGAAGCAAAGAATAGGGTCGAGTGGCACGCCTAATGGAAAGTGGAAAAGAGAAACGTTTGAAATCCTTTGCAGCACTCAACCTCGATGACATGGGGAACTGACCGCACGACCTCCTGAATACCACTCACGTGCTCTACCAACTGCGCTAGCCCGCTTGGGACTTTTGTTCTGCCTACTTCTAGACCCATGGGAATGGGCCCATTCATTTACTGATAGGGCTGAGTAGATGCACAGTCACTGCAAACGTCTGACTTTTGCCAGTCCGATCACTTACAGCCGGGCCCATGGGAATGGGCCCATGGGGATTCCCTTTACCTGTGTCGGAGCTAGTCCCATCTTGTTGTGCCATCTTTTCTCCAAGTCTGTTTCTTGCTCTTGTGAGCTCACCCTGAATTGATAGCGCAGTTTTGTCGTATAGCGAAGGATGTTCGTTCACCGGGGCCTCGTCAGTTTCATGCCCGCTCTCCCGGATCTATCTTCAACTTCTCTCTGGCCACTATCGGGGAATCGATGGTAAATTCCTCGTCTTCGATCACCCTCACCTTTTGCACCAGCTCTTTCCTTATATGGAAACCTGAGTCCTTGTTTCCTTATGTATGTATGACCCTTGTTGTGCGTCCTGGTTCCTTTATCTCATACATATCCGTTCATTGCCAGTTCGCTATTGGCGCTTCCTTTCCCCCGACCCCAAAGGCTTCCATCGCCACTTCCTCGTTCCTCCACGTTGCACATTCCCCTCCTGTCCACTTGGAGGCCCTCTCAATGAACCACAATTCCGTCTTCCGGGGAAAGATATTAGAACGTCGTTCAAATTTTCTAATAACTTATGATGTCCCTTCAGTTCCTCTCTCAGTTCTCTAGTTGTTTTGCAGCATTTACGCCCCGAAGACGAAGAACAGCTTTTCCTCAGCATGGCGCACCATGCTTTAAATGTTCAAACCAAAAAAAAAAAATGCGGCGATTGCCTTTGTCCTCTGCCACAACTCTGCCTCATGAAACACTTCTCGCAGGTGCTTTGCTTGAACCAGATTTCGAGTCTGGGCTCGGTCACCCTCAGAACATCTTAGGGTTATTTGATTCATTTCCCTGCCTCGAGGCTTGAACGTTGCCCCTCCATCTCTCTCTCCCTTCCGCCTCCACAGCGTCCCCTCCCTCTTGCAGGTGCCTGCTCAGACCAGATTTCGAGTCAAGAGGGTTATTTCCTTTATTCCTCTGCCTCCAGGCTTCATTCCTCTCTCTCTCTCTCTCTCTCTCTCTCTCTCTCTCTCTCTCTCTCTCTCTCTCTCTCTCTCTCTCTCTCTC